CTTATTGTTACTTATGTTATTTGACATAATCATGTCTAAACTAGTACAATCTACTTTACCATTCTCATATAATTTGTACCCTGGAATTACACTGTTTGCCCATTGTTTTTATTACATCCGGTTACGGAGCCCCCATTAGGCTAACATTCCCACTAAAAGCTAGGCAGTATAACAGACCCACGCCACGTTTTTTGGAAGCTATCATTTATGTAGAAGTGTCTGGGCTTGCAGCCCAGAAAGCCAACCACATCCTGGGCTGCATCAAAAGAAGCGTGGCCAGCAGGTCCAAGGAAGGTGACTCTGCCCCTCTACTCCACTCTTCTGAGACCCCACTTGGAGAACCGTGTCCACCTCTGGGGCCCCCAACATAAGAAGAACATGGACCTGTCAGAGCAGATCCATAGGAGGGCCACAAAGATGATCAGAGAGATGGAGAACCTCTACCGTGAGGACAGGCTGAGAGAGTTGGGGTTGTTCTGCCTGGAGAAGAGAAGGCTTTGGGGAGACTTTATAGCGGCCTTCCAGTACCTAAAGAGGGTCTACAAGAAAGGGGCAATGTCTTTAAACTGGAATAGAGTAGATTTAGATTAGATATTAGGAAGAAATTCTTCACTGTCAGGGTGGTGAAACACTGGAACAGGTTGCCCAGAGAAGCTGTGGATGCCCCATCCCTGGAAGTGTTCAAGACCAGGCTGGATGGGGCTTTGAGCAACATGGTCTAGTGGGAGGTGTCCCTGCCTGTGGCAGGGGGCTTGGAACTAGATGATCTTTAAGGTCCTTTCCAACTGAAACCATTCTCTGATTCTATGATTCTATGATTTATGCATGCGAAATTTATATGGGCACTAGCTCTTAGGTTCCCTGCTTAAACAGGGCTCTAATTCTTGATAATAATTCTTGAAAATAATTTCTTGATAACAGATTTATTTTATTCCTTGTTCCTCACTACACCTTACCTGTATTTTAATCAACATTTGTCTTGTGTTTGACGATTTTGTTACTTCATCCCTGAAGAACAGATGATAGCAAATTATATACTATCCTACTTCCACCAGTGTTCCCTCCAAGAATAAAGACTTAAAAAACCCTTAACAGAAGTGCCTGCTTTTGCACTTTGGTAATATAGACACTTTGCAACCTAAAGCTTTATTAGAGCCCTGATCAAGAATATAGAAAACCCAAAATCTAAACATTTCTCAGTCCAAAAAAGTTTGAGTCCAAATTTTGCACATTTCAGGATGGTAGCCTGGCTATTCAGGCTTTTTTAATAAAAGGCAGAGGTAGACCCTAGAGTATGGAGCAAAATTCAGTATTTCCCCTTCCCCATCTTCTCTTGCATCAACTCTGATCTCTGGACCATCGGCCCAGGTCCCTTCTTCTTAATTGCTCTCTGGTTTCACAAATTTTGTATGCTTGGCTATACACTGGGCCCATTTCAAGACAGTCCAATAACATAATTCCACTGTGGTTCAAGTACGTTCAAGGAGCATTATACAGAAATAAAAGTTAGGACATGTGTATCACCGAACATACCTAAGCAGCCAGACATGGATTTTGTGACTTTTTTGTTTATGCACAGATTTCTACTTTGGTTACATATTTACTGCCTTTACTGAGATGAAGATGCCAATGCCTGGGCTGGAAGGCATGTCCCTGTCACATCCATACTGGAGAAGTCCCAGCCTTCTTTGAAGCACAATAGGCATATTCACACTACATTTTGCAAGAGTATCCTGTGGTACAGCACTACATACTTTCATGTCTCACCAACACAGGCACAAACATATCTTATTACTATTATTCCAGCTGTCTTGAGATGAAGGGTCATGGCCAGCACAGTCCCATGGCTCCTCTTTCAACTTAGTGTGCAGTCGTACTGCCTGCACCAGGCAACAGACATCTTGCCTCAGGGCCACTCACATAAACCTCAGGACAGCCAAGTGTTTATAACTTAACAGCTTCTTGTCGTGTTGGGAAAGCTTTGGAGTGGAGCCATGTGGGGTGCTACTGTCATCACAACAAAATATTCACAATGATTCAGAACTACTTGGGAGCTGCACTTTTCCAGGAGTGTGCCTGTATCTCCTGTCCAGAGTGAGCCTGCACAGCCAGGGGCAGGTATACAGTGGAGGGTACCAGCAGAGCGCACAGTCC